AGAAGTTGAATACAATAGTCCTCACGGTCTTACGAGACGCCTCTCCTGACCAGGAACGTCACCATACAGAGACACAGGTACCAGAAAGAACAGGCATTTTACGAACTTTTTGAAAGATTTGCTCCAGAATAAAATCGATTCGAAAATGAAACAGATTGCCAGCCGAGCAAAGAAGACGACAAACGGCTGTTATGATCGACTGAAAACCGAGGAAAATTGGTCAGAAATACTGAAACTGGATGGTAATTCATGGGTGTGAATAAACCGTTGCAGAAAAATTCACTTTAATGCAAAAATGGAGCAAGAGCGCTCGGTTTCGGTCAAGGAGGATCAGACTGCCAAAAGCCGCCTTGCGGTCGGCAGCCGGTTCGACTCAATTTGCCAGAAGCTAGATATGAACTGTAGTGGAAATCCTTTACGTTTTTGGCATCGGTACTTTTAGAACTTCGTGATCTTCTTTCAGCTTTTTCTCGTAAGCATCAAGCCACAGCATGGTTGCATTGTGCCGCATTGTATATTCTGTATTCTCAAAATCATCAATCATTTGCTGGAACTCTCTGCGGTCCCGGGAATCATACAGATCCGGCGGTGAATTTACCACAACTTGCATCTGAAGGCCTGAATCAAACACAGCTAAATTCCAGTTCTCATCAAAGGTCGTTGTTCGTTATTCAGCGGTGCGTCTAAACGAAGCTTTGTTCTGGTAGTTAGAAGCAACAAAATGTAAAAATAAAAAAAATCCATTTACGGCTCACGCCAGGCGAGCCCGTGCGATCATGCATTTTTGCAGTACTTTTTGTTGTAGTAAGATCGCTTGGAGTCCCCGTGGCTAGAATTTGTGGCATACTGGTCCTCGAAATTCAGAAAATTAATTGTGTAACTATTGGTACTTGGTCAGGAAAAATTCCCTCGAAATCTCAGCTTTCTAGCTTTTCTTGTTTCCGAGTTACTAATTTTCGTCTCAAAAATTTTCGCGAAGCCGTACGTGAGAAGCACGCATACCTGGGGGCTGAGTCTGAAATCTTTAAGTGTACTTGGGCTGGGAACATCCCCTTAAAGTTTCAGCCTCCCAGCCCTTCTAGTTCTTGAGTTAGCGATTTTCTCGCCAAAATTTCTACCTGTTCATGCGAGGCCCAGACATGCATGAAGACTGGTACCGCAGCCTTGGGGTGACGCTTGGCCGGAGAACCTCCTGGCAAAATTTTAACGCCAGAACTTGCTTGGTTGTCGAGTTGAAATACCCGAATAAACGCATATACATAATGGGTCATCACAAAATGCATTTTT